TCATACTTCTACTACCTCTACCAATATGGAATTTGAATTGACAGTTGCTTCTCTGTGTCAATATGGTATGGCAACTTGAACTGATACACGTACGTATGAACTTCTACGTTGCTGTTGATTGATTGACTCAATTGTAATCTGTACATACTTATTTCCATATTTTTAAAGGAAATAAGAAAATTAAAAGAAATATGAATTCTGTCAAACAAAGAAAAAAGAAACACAACAACAACAACTTTAGGTTTCAAATGAAATTACTGAAAACAATCAATTCAGTGACAACATTAAAAATGTATATTCAATCGATGATTTCACTCGTAATAACACATTTTAAAGTAACAAAAAACAAAACAAAACCATCAAATAAGATTAACGAGAAAATAAAAAAACAAGCGGAGAATTAATCTCGACTGAAATGAAATTATATGTAGACACATAGAATTGATGCGTTTCAAAATAGAAAAAAAAAGGATTCAATGAAATTAAAGAATAAATAGGCTAGAAATACAAATACCGACTAGAAATCACTAAACAATGAATAAAGCAAATCACAACACCTATCGAATAAAATGAATTTTAATTTGGATACTTATAGGTCTACTCTACTGACTGATTGATGTTATCATGATAAAGTGAAGAGCTATTGAAAAATTAAATCCAAATATTAAAAAAGACAAATATAGTTATTATAGTTTTTATCGGATAATTTCCCAAGATCAGTAACATCTGATTATTTATATTATTATTATTATTATTATTATTGTTATTAACATTTTTATTTCCATTAAAATCGTGAATCGATCAATGTTAGACCATCAATCGAAACCTCATATCACTGAACAGCCGTTTCGTCTTAGTATGGGACTCATCAATAGTCCGTACTCACGATCATCGCCCGCGGGAATCGAACCCAGGACCTTTGGTCTCTCGTGTCAAACACTGAACCTCCAGGTCTAACAATGATCGATTCATAATTTCAATGAAACGCAACAATATTCACAACTCTATCATAAAAATTACTATTATTATTATTATTATTATTATTGTCATACAGATTATCGAACTCCTCCTCTGTTCATTTCTTTCATTATTCTCTTCATCTTCAAAGACAAAAAACAAATCAAAACATTCGAGTTAACTAAAAACTGTATTCGCTTAATAGTTCGAATAGAAAGGATATTCTTATTTGGTTTAGTGCATTTTTAAAATGTTTTTTTTTTACATTTTTGTTTATAATTATCATACGTGTATAGAAAAAAGAAGAAAGAATTTTAATGTATTTACTTTATACTAAAATTATCATGATTGTCACGTTTTAAGTCCAATTGAAACTCACGCTATTTCTATAAGTATATCATGTTTTCATTAAAGTATATATTTCAATAAAACTAAAAGGTTATTGAATATGTTTAATGTTTAAATAACGCGATGTTTATGTCAGAGAGTAGACACAATTACATCAGAATGAAGGAATGGTAACTTCCAGGAGTAATTTATTGTCATTATTACTATAATGTATTATTGCTGTATAACATCAAGAATCTAGATTATCATGTTCATGCATTCCGTTTGTCAAATACTTCTGGTTAACCTATAAACTACTGTCATGAGACTTACTATTCTTATTTTGCTATCAGTTTATTATTTACAGTCTTTCCTATTAACAGCCACTTTTGGCTTGTTTATCTGTAATTACTATTTTATATAATATGGTGTGATGATGTCCAGTAAGTTTATATATATATATATATATATCATGTCTGTTTAAAATACAGATATAATAGAGGCTGGTTGCTACTCCTGAACTCAAGGTTAAGCTTAAAGAAAAACTAGGAAGTGGTGGATTAATGAGAACCAACGTGCCAGCTCAAAGTCAGTGGTGCTAAAAGAGCGTATTGTTGGTTAGTTTGGGAACACTAGGTTGTCTAAGAAATAGTAGACGTGAAAAAAACCAAATAAGAATTAGGATTTCGGTTGATGACTTGGCGCATGATATTAGTCAGCGGTCTACAAGACATAACACATACATGAATAAAAAGAAAGGCACTTATACCACAAGGTGTATTCAAGACGTATAGTTCAAAAATCTTTTACATCTTTGATATCTATTCTCCTCGAGTCCCTGTGGGGTTACTGCCGGTCACAAGCACGGACAAAGGAGGAGTGTTGGGCGTGGGGTTGGCGAACCCATTCCGTAGAAAAATAACTCGCTAAAAAATGCGAACTATGTTAGCAGGTTTGGCTATGATGCTAAACTTTACTCCAAATACATGAATTAAAGGTTATCTTCCAAAATGTGTATGTGTTTTTGAAAACAGGTTTTTTGCCAACTCGTTATGAATCATTTACGACAGGATTATAGGACTTCGTAAGGCAACATACTTAACCCAGTCTAATCTAAATCAACAATATGAAATGGTCATAAATATCTAAGAAAATCAAATAAGATTTGATTTCTATTACTTCAATGAATATATACTTGACATTCATTGTACTTACTCTATGAATATAATAGACGACATACTCACTTGGATGATGAAGCTTAGTAACCACATACTGATTTATATAATACATCTTAAGCCACACCTAACGTGTAGTAACAATGTAACTAACTCAGTTACCACGTACGGGATTATTTATTCGGCTAGCTAGTGACACTTTCTAGCTGTCTAAAACGAAAGAGGTGGTGCAGATTTCTAAGGTTAAGTATTACAAATAGTGAAACAGTTTTATAAACTTAAATTATTGCTTAAGTAGAAGATATAAAACCAAAACGATCATTTGATTTGAATAATGATCAACATTTTCTAGCTATGTCATTTCTAGAGTAATATTCAGGGAATTAAAATTTTGTATAACAAGGTTTAGAACCAGTCACAATGGTGTAGATGAGTTCACGTTTTGTCTTCTTTCATATCATGAGTTCGAAAATTACCTTATATTATTTTTATTTGGCAGATTCATAATTTCTGTTCAGATCATACTGTCTACGCATAAAATTTTCTATAACCAATTATACTGTTACTACTTCTACTACTACAATGGCATCTGTTTTGCCAATTTTATTTCAACGTGTTATTAACGTGTAGCAAGTTGAACTAGTTCACATATGTACCAGGCTCTGTGTTGTTTATGGTTGATTGGCTGAGGAGCTTTAGACAAATGCAATGGTACGAACGAGAGTGTAGAGAGATAACTCTTCTCGAAATGCCCCCATATGGTGTATATAACCACTACCAGGGAAATCCAACTCACTGCCTTCTCGTGACACAGGTGTCGTTTACGAGACTGAAAGGACGAAAAGCATATGTCGACAGATCTAACCGAGTCGGTGTGTATGGAAGATTTAGGATCCTGATGGAACAAATAGTATATGAACCCATTGTTGGTCACTAGCCACCATGAAACTGTATCTGCTTACGCTGACCCACTGCCTTGTGGGTTAAACATTTGGGTCAAAGGTTCAAGGAGTGACTGACTGCCTAAGAAAACCATTGGCTCCAAATTGGACGTAAAGGAAATATCCTTGCCCACTCCTAAATCTAATAATTTGTGTGGCGCGCAAATATTTGGGTGCCCCTTTGTACTAATAATTATGTATTTAAATAAGTAAACAAAGGCGTGATAGATCCTTTTCTACATAAAGAGTTATGCCATAAACCGGCCACAATTCTCCCCCTTAAAACCAGTTCTGATGATAGCGATGGACGATATGGTAGCCAATGAGGCAGTATACTTAGTCTGTACAAATATTAAAACTTATATTAAGAATTGCTTCCTTTCTCTTCCTCAAATACGTGAACATCACTCGATATCAAAATTATTTCCGTAGTATTGTTAGTGGATGTAGGCAGTTTCATAAAAACGACAATGACCGAGTACAAATTTGTTACATATTCTCACCTTGCAAAGTCATATCTTACAGCTGAAAACCAGAGGTCACCATCACAAAGAGCTGCACATCCAGTCTTTTGAAGACATTCTATGTTCTTATAGAGGATCATAATTCGAAGTTAACCTATACGAAAGTCCTCTACAGACTGTTGTATGGCAATAAAGTTTCGAAAAATTTTGGGCGCCAAATAAATTTCGATTGGCTTTTACGAAATACTGTGATGTGATAATATGAAACAACGGAGTCTACTTATCAACACGAATATGGACACATGGGACGATAAATTCATTTTAAGGATCATTTGTTTAGACTAAAATTTACATTTGCATTCGAAGTTTATTGTTTAATTAGGATAAGCAGGTAATCACCACTAAATTGTAATTGTGGTACAGTTAGAATTGGTATATATTATAAAAAAGTAAAAATCCAAAAGATTCTCAGGTGTGATCGATGTACAAACTGGTACAATTATAAGTTAATCCAAGTTGTCACATCAATCATATAAACATACGGTTCCTCAGTAGCATTTAAAGATGTTTTATTCAAGAGCCAGAATTGCAGAAATCACATCACTTCTGGAGTTTGCCATGGAGTTTCATTCCTATCATTTATTGGAAACTATTATTCGATTAAAGTTTTACTTCATTTTCCAGAAATTCGATAGCAGAATAGCTGTGGGTTGTTCAAAGGTATCAGCTACTTTTTAGGTATTTTCAAATATTTTACAGTAAGCAGCTTAACACACTCCACCCTGGCTCAAATCTAGTGTTGCTACATGTTTCTCATCTTAATTCAAACCAGTTAGCTTACTTGATACATTCAAGCATCTATTATATCAGATCTCGAGCAACACAGTCCAGGTTAGTTAAATCAGTACAGTTTTAGTAGCCAGTAAATGAATGTCAGCAATAGACCGAATGTAGTAGTTTCCAAAAACTACTAATAACGAAACTTAAGGGTCAGTAAGTTATTTACGCAACTAATTAGTACAGTATCATGTATATATTAGAATGAGATAAAGAAAACAAGTACAAATGGTTATTGTAGTGAAAATTCTCAATAGTAAAACATAGATAGAATATAGCAACAAAGTCAATTTACTAACCTAATTCTCCCACTGCAATATCTGTCATTAATGGATCAGTTAGGCTTAATTTAGGATGTTCATCGTCTCCATCGCCAATATCAACATTATTATCATTCACAGAAATATCTGGAAAGTCTAAATTTTTATCACGTAATTGAATTATGTTTCTATTTGCCATAAAACAGAAGTTATCTGAGCATGGGTCACAGCATCGACAAGAACATGTAATGACTTGTCTACAAGGGAATATTGAATTTGTAGGACATATTTGACTTGATGAGCAAAAGGATGAGTTTGTTGATATTGGTAAAGCAAATGCGGACTGTATAGAATTACAATTAACAGTGGTGTAGGCTGATGCCAGTCTTTCATACCCCCCAGATAGTAAATAATCCATATCACAGTCTAGATCATTGCACAATCTTGATTGTTCTTTAAAATCCGAGGACCAAGAAGACATTTCCATGTAGAGTTAGAGATAAGGATCAAGTGATGGTAGTTCAACAGTAATTTTATGTGAATTATATTTTCAACTTTCAAATATTGTGTACATATATCATTGCATTTACATTGAGCTGTCATAAACAAAAAAGAAACGAGTAATCCTTAATGAAAAGTTAATATTTGATGTACATATATTTGGAGCTTATTTGGATAGATGAGTTTTTATTACGACAGTAGAGGATATTCGTAAGTTACTAGTTTCGATCATAGGTATCTCCAGAGCATTGCTCGTATATCCTCGGACAATCATGGAAGTAGTGTCGTTTTTAGGGAATGAATACTAGGTAAAAGTATTATTACGCTAAAATTCTCGAACACTGCTAAGGAATTTTTAGTGTAAGTGAATCCGACTTTTATTTAACTGTTTTATCAGTAGTTAAAACCAGATAATGTAGTTAGAAGTAATAATGGTTACCAAATGAACAATAAGTGGAGGAATGATGTAACTGATTTCGGCTCAAAGACTTATTTACTGAGGACTAAGTAGTTGGACCGTAATAACGGCACTCATACAATAATTGACTCACCTAATCAAGTACATCGACACATGTCTGTTAGAATAAATTTACGTTTTTATATACTAACAAAAGCATAAATGCTACCAGTGGAGGAGGAGCAGGACTAATCTGCAACAATGACCGAATACAAACCATACTGGTAATATGTTTGACTCTCGGAAACCATAACGTGCTAGTTGGGTCGGTTGAGAATTTATTTGATCAAAAACAGACAGACATTATCGACATGTAGCCTGATAAAGATGTGTGTCAGCAACAGTTACAATTCTTCAGAACGATGAGATAGAAACAATAAAACACATCTGAATAATGGAGCAAAAAGAACCCCAGTACAGTATTCTCAGTACTTAGGATATAAAAAGTCAATGCACATATACCATTGCTACCGATCCCAATTCATGTCATCCAAATTTTCCAACAATCGGTTGCAGGTATCACTCTAACCCGAAACCGGTAGTTTGCATTTACCAATGTGGTCTAGATTAACAGTTAATGACTTTATGGACTGATCCTGAGTTTTATCCGGCCACCCCTAGCCTTCTGACTTACTTCCACATTGGTAAACGTTGCCGTAACTACTCTAGTCAATGAAAACTAACTACTTTATCAAATGATTGGTTACATGTGCTAAATACTCTAAGCCTAACCCAGACATTACTTGCTCACCAAATACAGCAAATTTCAGGTTCGATGGTGGAATATTTCGAAAACGTTTCGCATGAGTAGACACCATATTTTTCGCAAAAGAGAGTTAGTTTGGTCATTAAATTTTTGTAATGAAACTATCAAGTTTCATGTTGGTGATATGAATTAAAATCAGTCCTCGAAATTCGGATTTGTAAGTTTTGTCGACAGTTTCTTCCGAGCTTGAGCGATGATTCTCATTACAACACGTTACAACCGTGACTCGGTTTATAATACCCTTGGGAAACATCTCTAGATGTAAAAGATGAAGCAGAAGTTTTGAAGCCACTTCGAACTCCAAGTCCTCCAAAAACATGATTACTACAACGTTGGTAGTTCGTAAGACAAAGTGTGTTTAGTACACGTAGGAAATGGATTGTTATGAGTGAAAAATTAAGAGAGCCTTAATTTGGACAATCAGCTAAAATAAGTAAGAAAATAAGTTAAAATAACGTTAAAGAGTTGGAGAACAAAGGGAGTATTTAGGAATAAGTCGGATGGATAATACAGAAATATTTACACGGTAAACCTTTTAGCTGACGATACTTTAATGGAAACAACAACTGGTTTACAGAGTTAAACATCAAACATACACACGTTTTTTACTGTCGAGCTGTTGAAACAGAGATAATTTTGTATCTAATCTGGTAGATGCAGAATGCTTCTAAACTTTAGTTGAAATGTAGATAACAATGCAGAGGTCACGAAATAGATCTTATCATTAAGATTTAAATATGCTTATTTTGAAACCATAAGGTCAATTAGTATACAAAATGAGACTGATAGGAAGTTCTAAAAGTACATTTAACTATTTGCTACTAATGATTTTTCACACTAAAGATTTTTTACAGTCAGCAAAAGCCTACTATATATTATTTCTTTAGAACAAGAAGACAAACCTTTCAGGGTATTTTAAAATAACCATCATTACAAAGGTCAGTCTGTACTATTAGAGTTAAAACGTTAAACAAAAATAATGCTGATGAATAAAACTTCATCAAACAGAAATATTAAACCAAAATTTTTCATGTTCAAGTGAGCATTACTTCTAGGAGTTGTTTAATCGATAGAAAGGAGAAAATATCATAGTATGGTGGATATGGGCTCATTAGTTCTCTGTAATAACTCCGCCAGTAGAAACTTAGGGGCTACTGCCGGTCCCAAGCCCGGATAAAGGAGAAGGGTTGGACATGGGGTTGGCGACCCCATCCCAACTAAAAACTAACTTGCCAAAAAACGCTAACCAGAACAAATAATTCAAACCATTTTAACTCTGCCCTGGGAGTTGGAGGAAGAATTATGACGTCTCGTGATGAAAGCCGAGTTCCCTCGGAAGTCACAAGGCTGATGCCTCTTCTGACAACCAGAGCAACCATTCTCTTAGGTACATGGAACGTTCGTACATTGTGGGAAACTGGAAGACTATTTCAAGTTGCGGTCGAAATGAAAAGATACAACCTCGAGGTGCTCGTCTTCAGTGAAACGCATTGGACACAGGTAGGACAACTGAGACTAGCTTCAGGGGAACTGCTGTTATACTCTGGTCATGAAGAGGAAAATGCTTCACATACACAAGGAGTTGCACTGATGCTGTCCAAACATGCACAAAAGGCACCAATAGGATGGGAATCTCATGGACCCAGGATCATTAAAGCATCCTTCAAAACAAAGAAAGAGGACATTACAATGAACGTCATCCAATGTTATGCACCTACCAACGACCACAATGACGACGATGAAGATCAATTCTACGAAAGGCTGCAGTCAATCGTCGATAAATGTTCACGAAAGGATTTGACGATTCTTATGGGATATCTGAATGCCAAGGTTGGAATGGACAACACTGGATATGAAGACATCATGGGACGACATGGACTGGGAGAAAGAAACGAAAACGGTGAGAGATTTGCAAACCTATGTGCCTTCAACAAACTGGTCATCGGTGTCACAATATTCCCGCACAAACGCATACACAAAGCTACATGGATTTCACCGAATCACACTACTCAAAACCAGATTGATCATATCTGTATCAACAAAATGTTCAGAAGGACTATGGAGGATGTGAGAACCAGGAGAGGAGCTGATATAGCCTCAGATCACCATTTGCTGATCACCAAAATGTTACTGAAACTAAAGAAGCACTGGACAACGGGACAGACGACAGCACACACGTTTAATACTGCCTTTCTTCGGGATACTGTAAAGCTCAACGAATTCAGGATAGCCCTCACCAATAGGTTCCAGGCCTTTCAGGATCTACTCAATGGAGAGGAAGCAACATTGGAGGACAATTGGAAAGGGATTAAGGAGGCAATCACTTCAACATGTCACGAAGTTCTGGGTCACAAGAAGTACCATCACAAGGAATGGATCTCTGTTAATACTCTCGCAAAAATTGAAGAAAGGAGGAATAAGAAGGCAGTAATCAATGTCAGCCGAACAAGAGCGGAGAAAGTTACCGCACAAGCTACATACACAGAAGCAAACAGGGAAGTGAAGAAGAGCATCAGATCAGACAAACGAAAATATGTGACAGATCTAGCAATGACGGTGGAAAAGGCTGCAAGAGAAGGAAACTGGAGACAACTGTACGAAACTACAGAGAAGCTCGCCGGGAACTATCAAAAACCAGAACGACCAGTGGAAAGCAAGGAAGGGAAAGTAATCAGCAACACTGAAGAACAGCGAAATAGGTGGGTAGAGCACTTTAAAGAACTATTGAATCGACCAGCTCCACTGAACCCACCCAACATCGAAGCAGCATCCACGGACCTCCCGATCGATGTTGGCGCACCTACGATTGAGGAGATCAGTATAGCCATCAGACAAATCAAGAGCGGCAAAGCAGCAGGACCAGACAACACTCCAGCAGAGGCAATGAAAGCAGATGTAAAAGCAACTGCGAAAACTTTTCACATCCTCTTCAAGAAGATTTGGGATGAGGAACAAGTACCATCAGACTGGAAAGAAGGATACCTGATCAAAATACCAAAGAAAGGCGATCTCAGAAAGTATGAGAACTGCAGAGGCATCACTCTTCTTTCAATATCAGGCAAAGTCTTCAACAGAGTATTGTTAAACAGAATGAAGGACTTCGTAGACGCCCAACTTCGAGATCAACAGGCCGGATTTCGTAAGGATCGATCGTGTACTGACCGAATTGCTACATTACGGATCATTGTGGAACAATCAATTGAATGGAACTCACCACTCTACATAAACTTCATCGACTACGAGAAAGCATTCGATAGCGTGGACAGGAAAACACTGTGGAGGCTTCTTCGACACTACGGTGTGCCTGAGAAAATAGTCAACATCATACGGAATTGTTATGATGGATTCAACTGCAAAATCGTGCACGGAGGTCAGCTGACAGACTCTTTCGAGGTGAAGACCGGTGTCAGGCAAGGTTGCTTACTCTCACCCTGTCTCTTTCTCCTGGTCATCGACTGGATTATGAAGATGTCGACATCTGGAGGGAAGCACGGTATCAACTGGACAGTTAGGACGCAGCTGGACGATCTGGACTTCGCAGATGACCTGGCTCTTCTATCGCACACTCAACAACAAATGCAAGAGAAGACGACCAGTGTAGCAGCAGCCTCTGCAGCAATAGGTCTCAACATACATAAAGGAAAAAGCAAAATTCTTCGATGCAACACAACATGCACCAAACAAATCACTCTTGATGCAGATGTCTTGGAGGACGTTACCACCTTTACATATCTGGGCAGCATCATCGACATTGAGGGTGGATCCGATGCAGATGTGAGGGCACGGATTGGCAAAGCGAGGGCTGCATTTCAACAGTTGAAAAATATCTGGAACTCCAAACAACTTTCAACCAAAACCAAAATCAGGATTTTCAATACAAATGTGAAGACAGTTCTACTGTATGGAGCGGAAACCTGGAGAACTACCAAAGCCATCATCCAGAAGATACAAGTGTTTATCAACAGTTGTCTACGCAAAATACTTCGTATTCGTTGGCCAGACACCATCAGCAACAACGAACTGTGGGAGAGAACAAGTCAGATTCCAGTGGAGGAGGAAATCAGGAAGAAGCGGTGGAACTGGATAGGACACACACTACGAAAAGCACCTAACTGCGTCACGAGACAAGCCCTCACATGGAACCCTCAAGGCAAAAGGAAAAGAGGAAGGCCAAAGAATACATTAAGCCGAGAAATAGAGAAAGATATGGGAGGAATGAACAAACATTGGACAGAACTGTAGAGGGAAACCCAGGACAGAGTTGGTTGGAGAAAACTGGTGAGCGGCCTATGCTCCATTGGGGGTAACAGGCGTAAGTAAGTAAGTTCTCTGTCATAAACTTCATACACCATTCATGCTGATAACCGTTAATAGATAACGCTCAACAATGTAAAACTCAGGAGATGAATACGAAGCGTTAAAGACATTTGTTATCGCACCGCAATGATCATAAAACCACAGGAACACGAAACGAAGATGTTGTGAGAGTGCCGAAGAGCAAGCTGGGGAGTGAGTGAGTGGGCGAATGAATGAGTGAATGATATATATATATATATATATATATATATATATACGAAGACAGATGAGCCAATAAATAAATACACACCTCGTACCTGATCATAAAAACGTGAAAATAATAATAGCCGATGGTACATTTATTTAAATGCTATACGAATCAATGTCTGTTAAATAAATTAAAAAGGGCTTAATCGAATCAGGTGTGAACGACGTGAAATGTGTGTGAGGTACAACAATGGGATTCAATGATTGTGCTTGATTCAAGCTATTTTATATATCTTTGTGGTAGTTAATTTAATGAAAATCCGCTGGTGACTGCTTCATCAATACAATTCATAATGAACTTAGAGTTTAACTCTACTAATGCTGAAAGCATCATCACGCGCTTGTATAAACCAACTGAGTTCTTTGTGCTAGCTTCTTTTTGCTGCGGTACAGCTCTGAGTTTGGTAATGTTCACTGCACTAGTTCCATTCAATCGTGTAGGCAACAATGGTAACAAAAGCTGGACGAATACAGCGATGGAACTGCTGGTTGTCTTAAATTCCCTAGTACGTGTTAGTACGGAGCAGTGGGTCAGCGTTAGGAATGGAATGGGCAACAAAAATTAGGGATAAGAACAGTAGGCTAAATTCACAAATTTTACTGAATGTGCCAGTGTCGAAGGGTCACTTACTATAACATGGAGCTGCCTTCGATAGAGAACTGTGGTACAAGTATTTCGAAATTCTAGGAATGAGCACTGACCATTCCGTCTTTACTAGGGTCAGAACGTCGCTAAAGGGTTCCCTCTCCAGTGAGGCTAACCTTAGACTTGGCACAAGTTGGTGAAGAAATTATCCCAAATCTCGGAGAAACTCGGTTAAACTGTCCTCCCCGATCCGAGTGAGGCGCGAAATGCGTGGACAGGACGAGCAGCCACCAGGAGATCAAAAAACACCCTAGAGCAGACTCGCATAGTTTTACATGGCATGCCCGTCCTGGTTAATGATAGCATAGATGAAGTTCATGCACAAGACCTGCAACAATGGCTATCATGTGTGACGGGCCTTCAAACCACCATGGCAACAGGCATTTCCCGGATACCTCGTCGGTCACATCTTGCGACTATTAAGTCTTCACGTCTGATGGTTGTATACTTCAGAAATCGGAAAGATCTAACGGAAGCGCTTAATGTTTGGTACATCACAAAGAACGATCTTTCTAGTCACATCAAATGTTGCGCGTGCCGACCTAGATCTGTGAGACAACAGCAAACAGGCCAAAACAAGTGTAATCTAATGACGGTTGAGGTCGGTCAACGGCTCACTGCACAAAACATGAAGATCATGGCCTCGCCGACTGCACACACCATGCAAGGAGAAAACCTGCAGTTCCTGCAGAACTCGGTTTGAACAACTTGT